AAAAAAAAAAAAAAAAAAAAAAAAAAAAAAAAAAATTGTTCAGTTATAGTAAATATCAGCATTTTTATTCAGCCATTCATACTAATTTAATCTTTTTCCAGTCATACTATCTGACATTGATACCTCTTCATACTATTTATACCTGTGTATCTGCATAGTAGCTTTATCTAGTAGGATTATAAAGCAGTTTATATTGACTTGAAATGGTCCATTGTCTGTCATGGAATACAGCAGCTAATCTTCATTTGCAATATTATTCTACAGCTTTCAAGAGGAGTAGGGAACCTCCACATTTGGGAATTCAATTCAGTAGTTTCAGACACCTTCCAAATTACCAGGGCTTCTGTTAGCAGAGGGGTGGTCAGCCTGCTGCACATGTGCCACACATGGCACAGGCAGCCTCTGTGTGGCATGTGACAGATCAGGGAGGAGGCAAGCAGCACAGTGGCAGATAGGGCAGGGAGCAGAAAATAAGGCAGTAGATCAGGCAGGAAGCACAGGACAGGAAGCAGACTGAACAGGGGAAGAGGATTGTAGGGGTACTCAGGAAGGCACAGGGACTGATTTTGTGGCATGCCTGCCAAAAATGTTGGCCCCCAGTGGCACATGAGTTTTGGGGGGTTACTTATGTAAGTGCCTAACAGACAATAACCTGCTTAGGTTTTGGGAGCCTACCAAGGTCATATAATGCCAAGTATCTGGACAATAACTTTATATTTAAAGTACTCAGAAGTGGAAAAAGTACCTAGTATTGTATTATTTCTCTTTTATTCTATCAGCTGTGGACGTCAGATACTCAAGCCTTTTTTAACATCAGAATCAGAATTTGGTGCAGAATATCAAGGGAGAAAATCAGGTGGGATTTCAAAATATGCAAATATTTGATACTGCCTGTTTGTGCTTTCTTAATTGCCAGTTAAATTAGCACATCTATATTGCATATTAAAATGTTTACTTTGCTTCTGAGTAATCCATAAAGAAAAATAAGGTAATTTTACTGATGTTTCTGTGGAGAACCTCCTTGAGGCCAGTTCAAGAATTATTGTTCAGCTAAGCAAGATTTACCACTACTTGGTGCTGCTAAAGAGGCACAAAGTAGCCAAAGTATGTCAGCACTTCTGATCTGATCTTTGCAATAATGGGTTATGCCTTTAAGTAGACACGATGGGCTTGTTATTCATGGATCATCTACTATATCAGGATTAAACATTAAAGGCTTGATTCATTGCTGTGTCTATCTTCCTCTGAGGGCTGAAAAAGCATGGATGGTTTCTAAGTTCTATGCCTTTAAACACAGCAGAAGATGGTGCAACCTGGTGGATACTGTAACTTCTATCTGATGGTTGTAGTTTTCAAGAGACTGTGGGTGCGCCTACATCAGGGGTGGGGAAAACGGTGGATCTGGCTGGCATCCACACTCCGTTTCCCAGCAGCCCCTGCCCACATGGCTGGGGTGGTTTCCATGAAGACCTCAGCAGCAGCTGCACTGTGATAGTGGCAAGGCTGGGGTTTCTGTGGAGACCAGCCCCAGCAGTGCTGGCAGGATGTACAGCAGTGCACAGAGCTGCTCCACAGCCAGGTGGGGATCTTGTGGCAGGGACAGCATGGTCTAGAGCCAAGGCAGAGCCACAATCTACAGCCTACCCCAGGCAAGGATGTGCAGGCAGTGGATTACAGCTCTGCTTTGCCTCCTTTCAGCAGGGGCAGAGCTAGGGAGAGGGTGGGGAGGTTTAACCACCCCAAAATTCCCTGTATCCACCCCTCCCAGTGCTGCTGCCACTGCCTGCCCTGCACAGGTGACAGCAGTTGCCTGCAGCACAGCCCCCTCTCAGCCCTCCCACCAGGAAGAGGCTGGTGCTGCTACTGTCTGCCAGTAATGCTGCTGTTGGTCTCCTGGCCCCGCACTATCATTGCACAGCTGCTGCTGGGGTCTCCATGGAAACTGGCCCCAGCCATGCAGGCAGAGGCTGCTGGGAAATGAAGTTCACGGCTGGCCACATGGTGGGCCAGACTTTGCCCACCTCTTTGCATGTGCATTAACATGCCATAATTATGGTGCATAAAGTTTAGTACCTGTAATAACAGATACTAACTTAGTGCTCCATAGTTGGCACTACTCTGCATTAATGCAGATCAATGCTTTTTGTGTGATTCTTAATGTGCATTGGACTAAATCTGCTACACATTAGTGCATTAGCATGGTTTTTGCCAGCCATGCTAATGCGCAGTGAAACTAGTCCAGTCTGCTTTTAAGCATCTTATGTAGATGTGCCCACTGTAGACCAGAATAGGGAATATCCACAACCTATTGCTTTTTAACATTGCTCTTTAGCCAGTACATTCTTCCTAGTCACTACTCCTAGTATACCCTCCAGCCTTGGGAGCTAGGAGTAAACGAGGCAGAAGTGCTATCTGCATCATCTTTTATACAAACCATGGACTTGGCATTATTCTCCTCACCAAGTTTTCTCTATAAGTCTTGAGAGTGATTTCTATTCTTTGTATTGCAAATGTGCCAGATAAAGAATTTAAGAACAGTATGAATATAACCTGAAAATTAATTTCTGCCCAGTTCTTAAGAAAAATTTCTTTCTTCCTCCTTTTCCTTACCAACAGAATTGAAGAATGAATATTATATGTAGACTGTTGTAAAAAAGTGAATTTTTTAACAACAGTAATAAACCAAGCAATAAAAGAATTTGAGGAGCATGTTGCTAAATCAAATAATAAGAATTTTTGCAAATATATCAGAAGCAAGGGACCATTACATGCCCAAGGTATAAAAGGTATACAAAGGGATGATAGGGCCATAGCAGGGAAGCTAAATTAATTATTTACTTAACTTTTTACTATAGAGGATATTGAAGAGATTCTTGCACAGAATCTGTTTTTCCTAGCAGACATGTTTGATGAGTTGAATCAATTTGAAGTGACAATAAAGGACATGTTAAAACAAATCAATAAATTAGGATCATAGGAAAGTAGAGCTGGAAGGGGTCTCACAAGGTCATCTAACCCAGCCTCCTGCTCAAAGCAGGGTCATCCCTGAACAAGTCATCCCAACCAAATGGCTGTCTAACCTGGTCTTGAAAACTTCCAAAGATGGAGATGCCACAGTTTTTTTTTTTTTTTCTAGGTAGCCTGTTCCAATGTTTGATCACCCTCATAGTCATAAATTCCTTCTAATCTCCAACGTAAATTTTCTCTGCAGCATTCTGAGGCCATTTCTCCTACTCCTGTCCCCTGTGGCCACAGAGAAAAGGGTATTGCTGTCCTCTCTGTACTCTCCCTTCAGAGATTTGAAGACTTATCAAATCCCACCTCAGTTGTCTTTTCTGCAGACTAAATAACCCTAGCTCTTATCACCCTTTCCTCAAGTCTTTGCTCCCAGGCCCCTAATCATTTTTGTCAGTCTGCTGAACTCTTTCCATTCCATCTTGACATCAGTAAGTCACCTGAACCATATGGTATTCACCTGAAAGTTCTGAAGGAATTCAAAGGTGAAATTGAAGAACTGTTGGCAATAGTATGTAGAATACTTTTATTATAGGTGAACTGATATATCAGTCTAAATCGTATCAACACTGACAAAAGAAAAAATGACATTATCGGCAGTTGGCTTCTTTTGGCTGATGTGGTTGATAATGTTGCCATTAAATTCTGCGTGTATGCATGCAGCTGTGCCATGCGCATGGCCAGGAATGCAGCCCAGCATTTTGGAGAGCAGCGTCCTGCCGTTAAGTCTCTGGGGGAAAGGGGCGTGGAAGGGAGCAGATTGAGGCCCCCATGCTGGGGGAGGGAGTGGGGCTGAGGCAGGGGCAGGAGCTGCTCGGCTGGGGCAGGGCATGGGATGGAGCTGCAGGAGGCTTGTCGAGGGGACCTGCAGGGTGGCTCCTGTTGCTACGCGCATGCTTGGGGAAGACATGAGGGGCATGTGCCCCCTGGATCTATGTGTGAGATGAGGGCAGGCTGCCTGCTGCAGGCTGAGGGCTGCGCCAGGCTTTTCTGGGGCTGCACTCAGGGCAGGTCTAGGCAGGTGGTGGCAGCAGCACTGGGAGAAGGGGCTACAGTAAACTAGGGTGGGGGGTTATAGTGCTCTACCCCCAGAACCCCCTCCCTCCCACCGCCACAGTCCCCCAGCTCAGCTCCTCTGCTAGAAAGAGGCTGGCGCAGCCCCTGGCCCATAACCCACAGCAGGCAGCCCGCCTTCGCCCTCCACAGAGATCCAGGGGACATGTGCCCCCCATACCTCCCCCAGGGTGAGTGCAGCAGCAGGAACCCACCGCTCTGTGCCCCCTGGCAAACTTCCTGTCCTGCCCCATACCAGCTGGGCAGTGCCTGCCTCTGCCTCAGTCCCACTCCCTCCCTCCCAGAAAAGCATGGTGCCACCCTCAGTCCCAAGCCCACAGCAGGCAGCCTGCCCTCACCCATGCACAGATCCTGGGGGCACATGCCCCCCATGCCTTCCCCGGGTGTGCACGTAGCAACAGGAGTCACCCTGCACGTCCCCTGGATGAGCCTCCTGCAGCTCCAGCCTATGCCCCGCTCCAGCTGAGTGGCTCCTGCCCCTGTCCCAGCCCCACTCCCTCCCTCACCCCATGGGGGGCCTTGATCCATGCCCCTTCCCTCTCCCACGCCCCTTCCCCTGCTTTCCTAACAGATATACTGGCAAGATGCTGCTCTCCAAGCTGCTGGGTTGCATAATAGCAATCAGATCAGATTAGTATCAAATGGGTGCACCCTCAATTGTTATAAATGGCCCCAGAAGAGTCACAGTTTGTTAACATCATACCCATAGTCAAAAAGGGCACCAGAGGTAATCCTGGGAACTACAGTCCAACGAATAACCCTGGCAAATTGGTAGAATTTATAATAAGCAATAAAATCAGAATTACATGGACAAATATGATATGTCCGAGAAGGGTCAGCATGTCTTTTTTTTCTAAACAGAAAATCCTGTCTCGCCAATCTGGCTGGGGTCATCTGAACCCAGCACTCTTTTCTGCCTGTGCAGGGGGTCGGACTTGATGATCTGTTGAGGTCCCTTCCGACCCTAACACCTATGAATCTGTGAATGTGCTGGAGTTCCTTGAGGGTCCCATTGGTGAGGGACCCATATCAAAAGCTTTTTGAACAACTCAGTGTGTCAACTGGATTCTCTTCATTCATGTGCTTGTTATTGTCTACTGCGTCTTTACTCTTTCCTCTTTGAAATCCTTCCTGCATACTTACTTTTATCACAGGGATCATAAATATGTTTACTTTAGCCCTGAAGATTGTAAGAAGTCGCAAAACATCTGCCAGACATCCGGATTATCTGGATAAGGAAAGCTGAGGGTGGAGATAACAAAAGAGATGGTCGGAGAGCTTTTGTTGGGTCTGAATAAATTCAAATCAGCAGGGCTGGATGAGCTTTATCTCAGTGTCCTGAAGCAACTGGCAGAGAAGATCTCCGAGCCTTTGCAATGATCTTCATGAAGTCGTGGGATGTGGGCCAGGTTCCAGAGGACTGGAAAAGGGCCAATGTATTGTTCCTCTTTTAAAAAA